GCACAGGGAGAGCGATGCCAAGGGCAAGGGTCCACGGAAGGGGCTCTGAGCTCGCGGCCCTGCAGGGTTTGGTGGCATTTGGGTCCCAAGGAAGGAGCAGGGAGCCACGCGAGCCCGTGGGGCCGCCTCGCTCGGGGCTAACCGCGCTCTTAACACACTCCGGAGTCGATTCGCGCTGAATAATTAAATAGAGAGCCTTCATAAGTATTGACTTAACGTGACAGTAAGTCTATACTGACTCAGGCTTTGCTTATGTAAACACAATCTCTTGTTCGGCTTAGTTAGCAGTTCAATGAAATAGAACAATCCTTCAATTAAAATCAAATGGCGCGTGCGTTTAATTCTGCCTCCCTTCCCTTCCCAGGGAATAACGGGGCTGGAGGCTGGGCAGGAGGATTGAAAAGCCTTGCAGCTGCTCTGAGCCGTGATGGATCAGGGCAGCATCCTGGGAAGGCGTTGGGATATATCCTCTTGCAGCGAGCTAAGTTAGGCCCTAACGCCCAGTTAGGTCCTTAGCATCCGCTTCGGGAAATTTTTGCCTTGGAAATTGCACCGAGTGGGGAAAAAACGAGCCGGAATGCTCAGCTGGTAGCTGCTGGCGCCGCTTCCCGACGGGTCCTGCTCCGTCATTCCGGCCGCTTGGCCCCGGCACTGGCAGCTCCGTGAGCCACACTTGGCTCCGGCGCTTAAAAGCCCAAATGTGAGAATCCACGGGATGCTTCCCGGCAGGTTCATTCCTGGCAGTGCGAGGCTTCCCTTCCCTTCCCTTCCCTTCCCTTCCCTTCCCTTCCCTTCCCTTCCCTTCCCTTGGAATCCACCGGGATGAAAAGCCCTGGAAGATCATGGGGTTTTCTGGCAGGTCTCTGCTCCTTCCTTCAATCACTGCTTCATTTCTTCCTCCGTCTAATTCCATCCCAACTTCCTGAAAACACATCATCGCTATTTAAAAAATAACACCATTCCTACCCATTATTTCCATCGACTCTTATGGCTCTAGGCAGGTATTGTTGCGTGATTCAATCACGCTTTGACAAAAATGACATTTAATTAACAACGAAGCGAAAGGAAGCTAAGGRAAACGAAGGAGGGCTTGCTTTTCCCCGTATTGGGTGTGAAAAAATGAGCCGTTTTCCCAAATAAAAACCCAGATTTGGGAAAACGTGCTTGGGAAGCGGAGTCTGTGTGTGTCTGCCCGTGTCTGTGTGTCCCCCGGGCCCTGAGGTGGCCCTGATTCCGCTTTGCARCGAGGTCATTCAGCCCGTGTGTCCCCCACAAGGTTTCGCCCGCAAAAATGGGCTGTTTGGGTGGATTTTTAGCTGTGGTTTTGGTCCTGCGTGGGCAGAGCCACAGAGGTGTCCCTGCAAGGGACTGTAGTCCCAATAAGTGGCTATGGCAAAGCCCGCGGTGCCCTCCACCCGCTCCCAAATCCGCTTGGATGCCGGGATGCCGTCTTTGCAGAAGGAGCTGGGAAGCGGGCCGGCTCCAGCCTCCAGCTCCGGGATCCAGCCGTGCGGGAATGCAGGGACAGAGCGGAGCAGCTCCCGCTCGGCGAGATCTCATTTAGATCCCCGCTCGCGCTCCCATTCATCCTGCTGTCCCCCGGCGTTTATTTATTTCTCTCTCKCTCCCTCGCCCGCTCGCGCGCCTGCCGGCACCAGGTCGCGGCTGGCCGACTTCCATGCCAACTGCCAAGCGGCGCTGCAGGCTCCCGGCGGCTGCCCCGGGAACAACTTCCAGGCCTGCCTGGGCTCCTACGTGGGGCTCATCGGTGAGTGCCGCGGCGGCGGGCACGGGCGGTGCCGTGGGGCAGGGACGGTGCCATGGGGACGGTGCCGTGGGGCAGSGATGGTGCCATGGGGCAGGGACGGTACCGCGGGGCAGGGATGGTGCCATGGGACAGGGGATGGTGCTGTGGGGCAGGGATGATCCCATGGGGAAGGGATGGTGCCACGGGGCAGGGATGGTGCTGTGGGGCAGGGACCGTGCCATGGGGACGGTGCCGTGGGGCAGGGATGGTGCTGCAGGGCAGGGATGGTGCCATGGGGCAGGGACAGTGCCATGGGGACGGTGCCGTGGGNGTGCCATGGGGACGGTGCCGTGGGGCAGGGATGGTGCTGCAGGGCAGGGATGGTGCCATGGGGCAGGGACAGTGCCATGGGGACGGTGCCGTGGGACAGGGATGGTGCTGCAGGGCAGGGATGGTGCCATGGGGCAGGGACAGTGCCACGGGGCAGGGATAGTGCTGTGGGGCAGGAGACAGTGCTGTGGGGACGGTGCCATGGGGCAGGGACGATGCCACAGGGAAGGGATGGAGCCGTGGGGCAGGAGACAGTGTCGTGGAGCAGGGATGGTGCCAGGGGGCAGGGATGATGCCGCGGGGCAGGGATGGTGCCATGGGGCAGGGGACGATGCCGCGGGGCAGGAGACGGTGCCACGGGGCAGGGATGGTGCCTTGGGGCAGGGATAGTGCCGCAGGGCAGGGACACTGCCGCGCAGCCCCGCTCCCTTCCCACGCTCCGGTCACGCCGCCGGCGCAGGCTTCGACGTGACGCCCAACTACGTGGACGCGAGCCCTGGCGGCACCGTCGTCTCGCCCTGGTGCTCCTGCAAGGGCAGCGGCAACCGGGAGGAGGAGTGCGAAACCTTCCTGCGCGACTTCACTGCCAACCCCTGCCTCCGTAAGCTGCCGTGCTCCCCACCGCGCGGGGAGCCCCGGCACTGCCGCGTGCCCGCCACGATCCCCCCCTTTCCGCTAGGAAACGCCATCCAGGCCTTCGGCAACGGCACCGACGGGGCGCCCGCGGTGAAGGGCCCCTTGGCGCCCGCCACGGCGCTGCCGCCCAAGCTGGAGCGGAGCCCGGCGCTGCCCGACGCCGCCAACGACAGCAACGCGATGTACGACACCAGCCTCATCACCACCTGCACCTCAATCCAGGTGGGTGCCCGCGTGCGGCGGCGGCGG